GATTAAAAATACTTTTTTTCTAACCTTAATGAAACATAATTTCCTATAATTATGATTATTTTTGCATTCTATTACACAAAACACACAGAAAAAGTCAGATTTGTCCGTCAATTAGATTAGATTACATCCAGTTAAAATTATGCTATTGTTTCTATAGATTTTTGGGTCTAAAAAATACTGTTTTTTTAACGTTAATGGAACATAAATACTCATTATTATGATTATTTTTACATTCTATTACACAAAAACAACACAGAAAAAGTCAGATTACATCCAGTTACAATACTGCTATTGTTTCTATAGATTTTTGGGTCTAAAAAATAGTTAATTATCGATTAGAAATACTGTTTTTTAAACTTTAATGAAACATAAGTTCTCATTATTTTTACATTCTATTGCACAAAACACACAAAAACAGCACAGAGAAAGTCTGATTTGTCCGATAATAAGATTAGATTACATCCAGTTACAATACTGCTATTGTTTCTGTATCTTTTTAGGTCTAAAAAATTGATAATTATCGATTAAAATACTTTTTTTCTAACGTTAATGAAACATAATTTCCTACTATTATGACTATTTTTACATTCTATTACACAAAACAAACAAAAAAAGCACAGAAAAAGTCAGATTTGTCGGTCAATGACATTAGATTACATCCAGTTACAACACTGCTTTTGTTTCTGTATGTTTTTGGGAGTTGATTATCTATTAAAGATACTGTTTTTGTTCAGTCGTTAGCATTAAATAAGAAAATAAACAAGATTGTTTTAATAGAAACAACACATTAATGTGCAGGAACATTTAAAAAATAATGACACAATGTTTGGATCATCATTCATTTTATATTTTCGAACGTTAATGAAACATAACTTCTCATTATTATGATTTTTTTTACATTCTATTACACAAAACCGACAAGAACAGCACAGAAAAAGTCAGATTTGTCCGTCAATGAGATTACACATCACAACACAACACATTAATCTGCAGGAACATTTAAAAACAATGACTCAATGTCTGGATCATCATTCATTTAGTATTTAATCTAGTTTTGAATGTTAAGGAAATATAACTCTCATTATTGTGATTATTATTCCATTCTATTACACAAAGTTCAACTATATCTGACTTAGATAAAATATTAATGCACTGCACCCAATGTTCACCATTAGTTTGTTATGTCACACGTTAGAAAAAAGTTACAAAGTATAAAAAAATGTTTATAATGTTTATCAAATAATGAAATTGTCTAAATTGAAATGTATAAACAGATATTTGATATCATAAGCAAAACAAATCACTTTCATCCTTTAAAATGATTTTTAATTCAACTAATTTATATCAGAATACATAAAATGAATAATGTTAATGATAATACTAATATATAAAATTGAACAAAAACCCAATAGATATTATATAACTTCTGTTAACCTTAATTATTCTAATCTGAGCTGTTTAACTCTCAGCAACAATGTTTGTTCCCTCATCAGCAGGATCAAAACCAGGACTTCCGAGCTTCCAAGTCCGCTTTGAACGCAACACTGCGTCATTGAAGGTCTTTGCGTGAAGGACTACAATCATGGCGTTAAAATACCTCTTGCGCATGCGCAGTCTATTGTTTTAGTCGCCTCGTGTGTCATTTGAGGGTTTGACATTTAACTCCAGGATTAATTGATAATGAATGAAAAATGTGACGCATTTCTAACCGTAAATAAAGAAAAAATTATTTAAAAGTGGAACATTTCAGACTTTGTGAGTTCCGGTTGTCACGGTAACGTCCGGGCACGCGCTCAGGGTTCCTGTGACGCGCTCAGAATCACGTGGACAGCGACATCTGCTGGCCAAAGACCGGAATGACACCCTTTAATGGTTCCCTCCACATAAACTGGTACACAGTTTAACCGTTTCTGTTAGTTAATTATTGGACTTTGAGGGTAAAAGTTCCTCAGAACTCCTGTTTCCTGTTTCTGTCTGATGGGTTTTCTATGGCCATTTTCCTCTATCAGCTCCAGAAATGGAACAGATGAAGAGTCTCTGTGACAAAGAGCCTGAAGATCCACTTTAAGCTGCAGACGCTGGCTCATCCCTTGAGTTAGGGGCCCAGAGTTAAGTGGCTTTTCAAAGAAAAACTGGACCAAATATGAGAGAAAAAGTACAAAATATCCAAACAAAAAGCTTTGAGGGAAGAAATAAAGATATTAAAGGGGATTTAAAGGTTTAAACAACTTTTAAAAGACTTTTTAAACTGATCTGTATCCTTCTGATCCACCTTAAACTGCTGCTCTGCTGATTGGACACAACGCTGGCTCATCCCTTGAGTTAGGGGCTCAGAGTTAAGTGGCTTTTCAAAGAAAATCTGTACTCAAAATGACAGAAAACTCAAAAACATGCTAAGAAAAACCCCAAAATAGCTTCAGGTAGTTCTGTGTGGCTCATCCCTTGAGTTAGGGGCCTTTTTCTGCTCTGTTTAGACACAAAGCTGGCTCATCCCTTGAGTTAGAAAGCAGAAAAAGCTGCTCAGAGACACTTTAGAGGCTCAGAGGAGAGAAATGAGTCCACATTAGTGTAAAGTCTGTTTTATTTCCAGCTCCTGATGCTCCTCAAATCTTCTCAGAAGATTTTCTTTGAGGGTTTCTTATTTCTATTTATCTGGAACCTGCTAACCGACTTCTGGAAAACCTACGAGGGGAACTGGAACTGGAATTTCCAGGAATGTCCAGAAACGAGCTGCCGGCAGAAACGAAGCTGCACGCCGTCATCGGCTGCTCAGGACGGGGGTTTCCTCCATCACCTTTACCTGGAACAGGAAACAGAAGACTCAGTCAGGATTTAATTGTAATTAATTGAAATGTAATGTCATTTTATTTAATGTAATGAATTTAATTTAAATTTAAATTTAAATCTAAATTTAAAAATGAAAAATGACAAATTAAATCAAATTTAAATGTAAAAATTAAATCAAATTTTCATTTAAAAATTAAATCAAATTTAAATTTAAAAAATAAATCAAATTTAAATTTAAAAATTAAATCAAATTTGAATTTGAATTTAAAAATCAAATCAAATTAAAGTTCATTACAATATTAATTTAATTAAATATATTACAATTTAATTTAATATATTACAATTTAATTGAATATACTGCAATTTAATTAAATATATTACATTTTAATTTAA